AGATTTTATTTTGAAGGGTTAAAGTGCAGAACGAGGCGTTCGCTGCTCTTACGTTGACGATAGACTCCTTGGTCTGGGCCATGTCTGAGATGACGCCGTCCGTGATGATGAGGAGCACGAAGTACTGCGAGCCGTCGCTCACTGAAGCTGCATACCTGCGAACGAAAAAACACACCAGAACATCTTCAGTAGTCGTTTCCAGAACTCCAGAAGCGTCACTCTGTGGAGCTCAAATTAAAAGCTCATAGCTGTGTGGACGTTAGCTTTGAAAGTTGTTTTCCGTAAATGTCATTTCCCTCCCACTCTGAAGGATCTTAATCTGTCGAGTTCGTCTTTCTTCCATCTTCACGCCAATTCCGCGGATCCTCAACCCGACGCGACTTTCGGTTTCTCTTGTGAGCGTGACCTTTCGCTCCCAGGTGGGATTGCTACTGATATTTACACACTGAGATTATTTCAGCTGCTTTGGTTCGAGCTTCACCTTTCTGCACATCTGTCCTCCTCCTCCACTCTGACGATGCCGTATAGCTCAAAACCGAGATATGATAAAACAACCAGAGAATAAAATATATATATATAGAGAGAGCAGAGGAGACGAAGCAAAGCAAATAATTACTAAGCCGCACAGAAGAGATGAAAAATGAGGCTGGATGAAGGTGGTCGAGGAGAAACAGTTGACCAATAGGTAATGCAGTTGCAGGCAATATGTTATATGTATCAGCGACACTTAGTTTTAAAAGTTTTTAATGAGGTTTAGGAGGAGGAATTTGTAGAATGTGTGCTGATTATTCCGGTACTTATCCAACCAAGCTAAATCTTCCGAGTAAAAAACAAAGTTAATGATGTGCAGTCTGGAAAAAGAGAGGCGAGAGGTTACTGAGAGATGCAAAAGTAAAACGTCTGACATAAAAATATTGTAATTTATGCTATATTTACAGATATTAGTGGGCTAATATTTGAATTTTGAGTTTGTTTATCTGGTATTTCCACGGACCAGAAGAGTCTTTTAGTCACAGGAAGACAGAAGAAAAGAAACAAGACTGTGTCCATTAAATATGAAGCTATAGAAATGGCAGCGCTAGCCGACCACCCACGCTTCGAAAGCTCGCTAATTAACATGCCTTCATTGTTTAATCCATAAAACCACCAAGTATAGAATGAAAAAAAAGCCCACATATGGTCCTAGNCACACCCCTATATTTACATATATTTATTTTTTAATACTTTTACATTCTACGTACATTATTATGTAAATGAAACATATAATGTAATGAGTGAATTCTACTGTTTTGCAACTGCAACATAATAAAATATCATAAATTATGCTCCAAAATACTGACGGGATCAACCTCATCCTCCATGTTTGACAATGACTTTCCAAGGACAGTTAACATCACTGGAATAAGTCATGTTTATTTAGTCATTCTGAGTAGAGGAACAGTAGATTCTACAATTTCATTTCAACACATCGTACATCTGAGAGCGGACACAACACAAGCAATGATCTAGTCAGGAGAAAAACAATCTAGATAAGCGCCGTGATAATTGTAGATAATTGTAGCGTCCTCAGATATATCAACACGGGGATGTACGACGTGAAGCAAGACAAATTAATTAAAAACAACAACTTTTTTTGTTGCCTGCTACAAAAGGAAAACTCACACAGTCCTATTTTCAATGAATAATTTACAAGTTAAGTCCAATTTAAGTTTTCTTGGATAAAATAAGTTTTAAAACTTCACGCAGCAGGAAGTTTGCTGACGCGAAGACTCTGCATGTGCACGACAAATGGAGCGAGGAACAGGAGAAAAACACACGGCACTATTGGCCACAGAAAGGACGATGTTGAATTAAAACAGGCACTCCGTCTGCAGTGTTTTGCACAAAACAAGGCAAAATGACTAATTTGTTTGACTATTTCAAATTAGCATCACAAAGCATGAGCATCACACGTCTGAGTTCGACTCAAAGCAAAACAAAACTCCTTTGAACACCTTTGTCAGTGCTGCACAATGTGAGAAAAGTTCCAGACTGCAGAAAGAATCACTGATGCAATAACTTTTCACCTCACGAAAGGCACGAAACCAATCAACACGGCTAAACTTCCTCAAGTTGCCAGTCCCGGAGCTGTAGGAAAAAATGCAAGTTGAAACGGAGCGAGTTGGATATTATGCAACGGACTCGCGGTCCGGCTGGAAAACCGAGTCTGACACAAGTCCGACCGTCTGCTTTCTTAATGAGGACGTCCAAACACAAAATCTGTCTGCAAGTGAGAACATCGCAACGGGGATGAGAGAAGCGCTGCCTGTTTGGGCCTCGATGAGAGACTCTGAGTCTGTAGAACAGCACACAGTGTGTTGGACATGATGAAGGATGCTGCCTTCAACAAGTGGACCAGACTCCAGAGCTTTAGCCACAGACTGCATCCTATCCCCACACTGGGTCTATTGAGCTGTTTCTTCATATTGCTGCATTTAATGGAGAAAAACTAAACATCGCAATAGAGATTAATGAAATGAATGATGTTGCAGAGTTATAACAGTCCTTGTATGAGTACATATAGGTGTTCAGGATGACACACGGTGCTCTATCAGGAGTTAGTCTTCACTTGCCACCACATTCAAATTGAATTATCAAGATTATTGGTAGAGACAGAGTAGTCGTTGGATATTTTTAGGGATAAATCTCTACTGACTCTACTACCTTCTATAGGTTGGCAATCATGAGTTAATATTACTTAGTTTTTATTTTAAAAAATGTGCTGACTTCACCCCATTTTTTTTTTTTTTTTAGTGAGTCATAATTGTTAAATTTAGGTAGATGTTACTCAAAAGAATAGGGGTAAATCTACCCAAACAAACTGACTTTTATTCAGCCACAATAATGAAATAATAGTAAAATAATAACCAAAACAATACATATATAATAATCAAAATAAATAAT